TCTTTTTCCCGCATCATAAGTATTTCCTCCCGGAAAATATTCATTGTGGAAGTGCGATCGACGATCTCCGCTTCCGCGGATTCGGTGGGTGAGGGGATCGCCCCCTCCTTCCCGAGGGTCCTGCCTGCCTACACTTCACATGAAAGAGCCCAGGACCCAGGTACAGGTACCAATCCACCCTCGCTCCCCCCTCTGGATGTATCGAACGCCCCCTCCTCGGAAGATTCCCGAACCCGCCCCTGCCTTCGCCTTCCTCTCCATCCCGCCGCTTACGAGCGCCCCCAACATGGGAGTTCCGGATTCAAGGTGCCGCCTGGGTGACGACTTGGTGAAGAACACGTTTGATTAAACCACAGCAGGAATTTTGCCGCCGCCTTCTCAGCGTTATACCGGCCGTACGGGACACGGTTCACGAACCGCCGCGCCCTGCCTGCGGCTTTCATAAAAAAATACAAATTAGCGTTGATTGATTTATGCGCATGATGCAAGTGGTAAATTATTCCGCAAAGCTGTGTACAGCTCCGTGCCGAGCCCCAGCGCCACTCGGAAGCGATGCTGGAACGCTTTCCGTCACCGATTTTCCAGAGCGCTCAATCCTCAGCCCGAGTGCGTATCGCTCGGGGGAATGATAGGCTTGATCGTGAGCGAAGTTAGAAGATTTGGCGGACACGAGGCACGCTCACATCAACAGGATTTTGGATCTTGCAGAAGCGAAATCCGGTAGTCATCATCATCGGCCGCATCGTTTTCGTTGTTGTCGTGGTCGCCATCATCGTTGTTCGGATGCAGTTCGGCTCGCTCGATCTGGCAAAGGTCACTCGGCCGTATTTACAGATGTCATTAATGCCTCCATCTTCTACTTGCGCACGAGCTACAGCAGCAGTAGCGGCGTCTTTCGAGCATCGATCGAATCAACGCGAAATCCGTGGACGACGGACAAATAGGAGGAAGCCCGAGCGGACAGGTATAGCAACATACAGACAGCTTACCGTCCATGCAAGCCGTCAGTCAGTCAGTCAAGGATTGTTTGTCGTCTCCGGAAGAGGAGAACATAAACACCACTCATTCGAAGGAGCTCGAGATAGCCTTTTCTTAAACGATACGACGAAAGGGGGATTATATCCTCGGATATTTGGCGCAAGGAATATGCTGGTCGGTTATCTCTCTTCACCTCTTGGGGGGCTGGAGTATCAGTCGGATCATCCCTTTTCTTCTAACATTTGTAAGTTTTCCCTCAGGAGGATTCCTTCGAGTCTTTTCCCTATCTTTCTCGGACGTTTCCTTCTCGAACCAGAATTTTCCTTCCCTCCTGCCGACGAAAGCCTTCGATGGGTTAGGAAAGCAACGAGAACCCTCACCACGAGCCGCAGAAGAATGTCGCTAAAGTTCACTGGGGGATGTTCCAGAAACGAGATCACAACCTCTAAGGGCATCGCTAAAGGGCGGCGGCTATCATGATCTGTCATTCATGAATATATAGAGCCATTTGAGGAATGCTCAGTACACTTCCTTCAGCAAAGGTTCCCACATTTTGCTTATGCTTCATAGCTCTCACTTCACACACGCGGGCGCGCCGTTCTCTCTTGACCCGAGTCCCAAGAGACGGGCGTGAGCAGTTTCTGATTGAGGAAACGCCGGAAAACCGCACACGACTTGGTAAATTCGCAGTGTGCTTCGGTCCAGTCGATCACCCCAACCGTCGATGGTGATTTCGGCGGTTCCTCGATGAAGTTCGCGTGTACCTAGTACCTAGGTACATCAATCCGATGCAAGCTTGTCTTCCGATAAGAACTTCGATCGGATGGGATAGATCAGAGAGGACGGGCTCATTATCCGGAAAAATGATCGGGGCGAACATTAATATCGTAGAAAGCTCTCATCGAAGAGCATCTCGGCGCTCGGAGATTTCCAGCGGATCGCGCGGATTTCGAGAGGGCTGCTGCGAAAAATACGCGAGAGATTCACAGTGGCCGATGAACGGATGATTGTCTTCGGCGGCACGAAGAAAGTATAATATGAGAAATTGCCTGCCGGGATGAGTTGCCACCTTCGTATTCTCGCCAGATACGATCCGCTGACATTTATACGCCGCATCTCGACACAAACAGCCGTCGCACGTGCACACAATCTTCTGACATTTCTCGAACGACTCGGCCCTGCGGTTAGAAATTTGTGAAGTCGGTGAGCCCTCACTTTCGGCGAATTCTATCTGGTCGCTCTGGAGGGCTCATACTGATCACCCATCAGTATAAAGGTTCGGATTGAGCTGAAGATTTAATGCCGAAACGATGTTCTAGATAAAAAAAAAGAAGAGCCAAGTCAATAATGACAGAAGAGGGAGGTAACGAACCGCACCGCGGGGCAATGTCGCCGAAAGTAGCCACGCATCGTCACGTACCTCACTGACGCCACGTACGACCTACGATTTAATGTCGCTGACGTGGATTGACGCCCCTCCGCGGCGAAGTCAGACTGGGCTCAGCCATGGAGCTGCTCGTCGTTGGCTGGGAGGATTACGATCTAGAAAGCTGCGATTGACAAAAGTTCAACAAATCGATATCGTTGTCTCCAACGACACGCAGACGGGCGGCGGACCTCTTTTTGACGTCCCTTGTTGCTGCTTCTTCGGACTAGCGAGCCGCAAGCACTGCGGGTGAAACAAGCTTTCGTAATGTTCTCTGAAAATTCGGAAAATAAAATGAAAATAAAAAACCTGCTGGATACGATGCTGCCGTCGCTACCGCGGACAGGAATTAATCTGTTTCTCGTCGACACGATTTGGCATCAACTGTGCTTGACGGAAGCGAGAGAACACCCATGTTGCTCGGAAGTTTCGAAGCTTCGAATCGGATCAGCCAGTTCTTCACCCTCGGAAACATGGCAAGACGGAAACTGAGGAAGATGGGTGCGCGGGAAGTCGATCGATCGGTCGGTCGACGCATCGGTCTATGCATCATTAGACAAAGAAACCGAAAGCGACCTTTCCGATTGACTAAGCTTGGGTAGGAACGAAAAAATCAATTGTCGTCATCCAATCCTCGGCATCGTAACACTCAGTCAGTCGCAGGTCAAAGGTCCGGGAAGTCGCGTCGAGCTCGCGTGGGGGATGTTGCCCCAGGCTTTCTCGTGAGGGGCGCAAAGGTGACAAAGATATCTCGTGGCGGTCGTGCTAGTAATCATTTGATTGTTTAGTCGTTTGAGTATGACAACAGGCGAAAAAGGAAAAAAACTTTTCTCGACAAGGTCCATGTTACGTGAGAGACCTACCGGTAGATGAAGAACGTCGGAATGAGGAAAGCAAAAGCGTCGCGCGGCTGCGCAACGGTCTGTGTCTGGGAATAACAACGTTCGCTCGCTCCGTAAGTAGCTGCTTGGATTACGCTGAGGATTCCAAAATCTGAATTTTTATCTATTCGGCACCGCCGAACTTGACGATCGTTAGTGTTCTCCCCGTTCGAATCCTCACCGTCATCCGACAAGGACGGTTCCGGCCTCGACCAGACGACTCGCGGGGTGTGGGATTCGAACATTTGACAACAACATAACTGTCTCGCAACGGAGCCTCGCTGTTTCGGAAAACGTCTTCCGAACGGCAGCTTTCGGTTCTCACGACTGATTACTTGATCGGCGCCACTGCGTCAAAGAGAGGAAGAGGACGAGAGGACGTTCGCTCAGCGTAGTTTTCGACGCCATTATTATTTGTCGCCTCAAGTTCGCTAGTCACTTCCTCGCGAAGGTCCTCGGCCTCCGCGGGAGCTTGTCCGGCGAACATTCCGTTCCTATGGGAGCAAACAATTGTGCCCGATGCTCAGTCCACACAAGAGCACAGGTCATTGGATGGGAACGCCAGGAATTGCGAACACCAGAAGAGACATCAAGATCGTCCAGAACGGACAGCAGAAAGACAAAGTACCGGACAGGTATCCGGTGTGGAGGGAGCTCGCGTGCATCCTTGGCTGCCTGCCGCATGATGGAACGCGTGAACTTTCAATACCATGTACTGCGGCATCTACTTACCTACCAGTTCACAGAAGTCTCACCGGTCCCCGGTCACCGAGACGAAATATCGGAAGCGACAACATGCCGACCCCTTTTTGACTTCGCCTTCACCGAAAGGTTAATAATCAGTTTCCCACCGAGGTGGTCAGAAAACTTGAAGGGAAAAGAACTAAGGTGACGGAAAGAAAATAACTAAATCCCGGCTCGAGGGGACAATGCCTCAGCATGAGCTTAATTTTGATCGAAATGCAGAATTCAAGTCGAGCAACAGCTTCATCATGCGTGAGCGAAACCGCAGCCGGCCGAAGGACTCAGAGGAGTCAAAAGCCAACCAGGTGTTGATGGAGATGAACGAAGAATAGTTTCTTTTCTCGAATTCTGTTTTCATTGCCTCTCATCCTCGTCCCGCTGGTTTCGACGTGTGAACAACTCCGGACCGATGAAAAGTCCCGCCGCTCGGTCTCGACGCGACGCACCTGTGCTGAGATGCAACGATTCGCAGTTTTGCGATCAGATTCGCTTGGCGCAGGGAAAAAAGGATTCCACGGTGCTCAGGAGGAATTATTGGGATACTTATCGAAGAGTAGAGCCGTCAAGGGTCACAGCGAGGTGAGCGATGGTTTGCTCCGCCAGCAATTGAAGTCGCGAACCGCAAAAGCACCTGCCCGAGCCCCGTGCTTTCAGGGGCCGAATGGTCGGGACTCCGGATCCTGTGCAAAGTTCCATATAATTTCTGATGTTCGCGTCTGAGCTCGAGCCAAGTCTCACGTCGAGCGAGTCCGAATCTCAGCCGACAGGGATTATTGACCTGAGCTTAGCATGAGACCTCGTTTCCCCAAATCTCGACTCAGGCTCTTCCGGAAGCCGATCCGGACCAAACACAATAGACTCGCTAGAAGATTTGAGAATACGATCGAAAGACTGGAAAGCAATCGAAAAGCTGTCGAGTGTGAGTTTAATTGCATTAATGCTCTTTATTAAATATATACAGTCTGAACATGCTTTGCGCGAGCAATTGACAGTGGCGACACGTGGAGAGTCTTCATTTGATTGGAAAGGAATGCTCCATGCTCATCGATATTCACAAATTGTACATTATTCCATCATAGATAACATTTGAGAGTAGGACATACTCGATTGCTAGTTGGAAATCAACGTGGTGTTGATGAGACTGTTCACAGGCGGAGGCGAGAGAATTTCAGGTTTCAACTCTAGGAACTGGTAGGGCACATGACAGGTCTGACCGCGAAATTCCACGACCAAGTGGCCACGCTTCTGAGACGATGCTATGACCATGACCGTATCGCCTTTGAGTAGTTTGGCGTTCGAACCGTCACCGAAATTCATCTTCATGACCCGCGCCTGTGGGTAACCTAATTTCGCGTTGCCCGTCACGGTGTAACGTCTGCTCGGCGGTACCGGTGGAGGTTGTTCGAGATCGAGACCGAAAAGCGCGCAAGTCTGTTGGATCAGTCTCTGATCGCAGCGTTCGTTTTCCGGGGGTGGGGTCCCGGAAATCGGCTGCGGTCTCGGCCGGCCCTGCAGTTTGGTCAGAGTCCCGGTTTTGGTCAATGTCGCGGTCCTGGCCGAAGCAATCGGATGTTGCTGCGTCGGTGGCTGCGTAAAACAACTCTGAGCGGACATGTTCAAGTTGACGCTATGAGTCGACTGATTGAGAGTCCGCGAAACCGCGGTCGTGGTCGCCTGCGAAGGGTTCAGGTAGCGAGACGCTTGGCTTGCCGCTCCATTCCTCAAATTGCTGTTCCTCTTGAGCGAACCAGACCAGCTGTTCAGGGTCATGGAGTTGTTGACAACGGAGCTTCCGTTGACCACCGACTTCGGGGCTTCAGTTCGAATTCTCGGTAGTGGCTTCCTGAAGAGACCTCGTCTCTTCTTACGGCAAAACTCCCGGAATGCGCCTTGGATTAGGCGGGCCGCGGTTTGGCGCCGTTGTTCTCGGAAACGCTCGAGCTGTTGGCGTGCGTTTTCACTTAGGAAAATGTGATTATCTCCGAGCGACCAATTAACGGCTGCGTTCGAGAGCTTGACCTTCTTGAGAGCTTCGGTGAAGTACTCCAGAATGAGCTGGCAGTCCAGAACGGCTTTGAGCTCGGTCCGCTCGAGCGACTTGAACGGCGCGAGCAACCTATACCGTCTATTGAAGGCGGAGAATTTTATTCTGTGGGCATAACCGCTCGCCATAAGGTTGACTGTTTCTAGAACTTGAAGGTCTCTCAGCTGTTTCATGACACAATGTCGATCGAAGTTGCTCGGTTGCTCCTCCTTGTTCGTCTTGATGCACTGGATGAATTGCGGCTTTGCCTTCACCAATTTCTGCACCAGTTCTCCCATTCGGATGTGGAAGTCCTGAGTGAGAGTTGGGATCGGATCGTCACTATTGCAATCGTAACTGACGAGAGGCGAGATCCGGAAATTCGTGCATTTCCGATTGCCTCCGTTCGCGTACAGGGCGTCCAACTCGGTCTTGAACAAACTCGTCACGAAATCCGGGTAGTCGGAGTTCTTCTTGAACAAACAGAGGACGTCGCCGGGGATGACGTCACTGTTGCATTCGAGGAAAGAGGACGCGTTGTACGTAACGTTCCCTGCGTAGTGCTTTATAGCGAACGTCGAAGCGTCAGCTCCAGCGGGCCGCAGGAAAGAGGGATTGCTGCGGTGTTGATTCGAGATATTTTCAACGAAAGTTTCGGGGGTTCCTCCGTTGGCACATTCAGCGTCGCACATTATGAACAGCCCGGTGCGCTGCAAGGGAAAAAATGAGATGAATCTCAGCGGATATCTATGATATCTTCTCGGTCGATTTTTTTTCCCCATCGGGAAAAACGAACGGGTAAGAATTCCATCGAGGTCAACATCGCGCAAAGCCTTCGTGAAACATACCAGGCCGGAGATTAGGTTGAGACAAGGCACGGAATCGGAGTACTCGATTTGGAGATCACAGTTGACGCCTTCGTTTTTGCACGCGTCCAATTGGCTCTTGAATACGTGGCTGTTGTAGAAATGCTGCATGGTTTCGGCACATAAATTGATGCAGAGTTGTTCCAAGCGGTTCTCCAGAGCGTTTTCGAATCCGAACATATCGAGTATACCAATGAAGCCGTCTGTGGCGTGTTTCACGGCCGAATTCAACACCGTCATGGATTTGTGCTTTTTGGTGCTGTTCGATCCGGCGGTGGACGCATGCTGACTGTTCACTTCGACTTGGTTGTGTACGGACTCGTTGCTGTCGGAGCTGAGAGTTCCCGACATGGAATTCATTCCTTTTAGGCTGTTGGCGCACCGGACCACGGTAGCCACGGTCCGGTAATATAGAGCCTTGGCCAGAGCATCGCGACTCGCACTCGCTTCCGCCGAGGTGCACACCGTCGACATCGGATGTCGGTGGACGTAGCGGATTCTCCTCGTGAGTGCCGAGTACAAGGCGGTGGGTGTGATTTTCAGTAGACCGGCAACCTTTTTGATTTCTCGACCGCTCTCGATGTCGACAGCACCGTCCTTATCGACGAAATTGATGTTTCCGAGCAATAGGATGGCAGCCAACGTCTTCATTATGTCAAGATATGGGATCCCTAGGACGGCCACGCCAGATTTCCAGTTTCGAAAGCGTTCAGCGTCCAGCTGAGTGTCGCACTGGGTATCGGCCTGGTTGAGGTAGTTGAAAGACTCGACTGAGCAATCTTCTAAGCCAAGTTGTTCTGTAAAGAGCGAAAAAAAGAAAAGAAAATCAGATGTGCGTCCTCGGGAGACTTCCGAGAAGGAACTCGTTTGAGGCGATACCTCCGCGATAGGAATACTCGCGACGTACCCTTCTCCTCATATGAAAGCCCCGCGAGCATCTGGTAGAAGATGTGATAATTTTTCTCGTTTTTCGGCTGTCTCACGACACGGCTCTGATCCAGAAGCAAACAATGAATTTTCGGGTGATACAAAACACCGCCCGTAGCCTGGACTTCGATGAAATAACCCTACAGGAGAAAATAATACAAATCAACAATCTGCGACTGTTCCTTATCGCTCGGTGGGATGATATGCAGCGATTGGGAGGGATCCCCTCGACTTAGGAAGAAAGGGTCGCTCTGAGGGAAAAATACCCTGAGGATCCTACTCACGATTCGACTAGATTGGCTATTGGACAGTGTTTTGGCTGTACCAAACGACCTGAGGACCGTGAAGGCGGCTGCGAGGTGCTTAAAACAATCCGTTCCAGGACCCCCACCGGCGATGTCGAATAATTGTCTGAGGAGAACCATGGATGCATAGGTTTTTCCGCTGCCACTCTCTCCACTGCAAGGGAATAGAGAGAATTTATCGTTCAGTCTTTAGTCGCGCAGACAAGCTACGCCCGGTGTGAAACGAGAGTGAGATCAAATGGGATCGATCGATCGTTATAAGTTGCAGGGGCGCGGAACTGACCTCAGAATTATGGTTTGTGACAAACCGCTTTCAGCTTGCTGAATGGCTGCTTCTCTGACAACTTTCATTAATTCCGGGTTATTGACGCTCGCTATCGAAGTTAGCGTGAGGTCACTCCGCGGCTCGTTGTAGGGGTTCGCCGCCAGCAGCACCGGTCCTATGTTCGTCTGGGAGAGGAAGAATTTTTTATCCAGGGAACAAGTAATTGCTATGGGAGAGCTAGACGGACGTATCATTTCCAGGGAGTTTCCATTCGGATAGGCACTCACAAAGTACTGCTTTTGGAAAAATCTTGCGTGCAGCGTTCTCAGAACCGAATCTTCCGTTAGGGGTCCATTCGTGTCGATGAGATCGTTCACCTCCACCAGTGTCCGCGGCGGACTTTGTGCGAACTCGTTCGTCCCATCCACGCGGATCGACGGTGCCATGGGTTTTATGTCACCTTGAAATGAATAACGAGAAATGAATCGCCTGCCCGTCTGATTGAGCTCCGTGTGGGTCTACGACAAATGAGTCTACGTGAATCAATGTTTCCGGAGTTCGTCAAGATAATATCTTCCTCGAGGCGGACGAATATTGAAACCCAAACTCACCGATATTTTCATATGTGCTGGTTGCCGGCTTTGTATCCAATGGGGGCGGCGGAGGCGGCGGGGGGACCGAGAACGAGTCGACCGGCTGAGCCACCGAGAGCCGCTTGCGCAACGTAACCAATTCCGACGAGAGTGATTTGAGTCTTTGTTGCAAATGGACAGCTTCATTCTGGGACGATGCATCTGCAATGTCAGGAGACGCCTGATTAGCCGAGAGAACAGATCCTCGGGAACGTCGGAGACTTCAAATGGTCTGGACCATCCTGCTCGTGGACGATCGCCTGGAGTCGCGATCGCGAAAGCGATCAGCGTGGGACGCGCTCCACAGGCCGAAGGATCCACGGAAAGACCATCGAGGTAGAGTTCGTGTGTATTTAGTGCGACAATAAGAATACTGGTGAGAGAGTATTTCGCTGTAGTGCGACTTCTGGGCCGATGGCGGTCCCGCTCTCGGCATGAGTCTTCTCGTCTGAATGTACCAGGAGGATACGGATGCCAAAAGTTTCCCGGGAGTTCGTCTTCGAGGACCACAGCGCCGCGGCAGCTGAGAATCCTTCCAGAACGTAGAAATTTACAACATTACAAAGTAAGGCTAAGTCGCCATGTTGTCGGCGATTAGCTTCTGAGAATACACCCTTATCCACTGGAGATCATCGCTGTTCGATGCTGGTTCGATGACGTCTAGATAAGAAGAAGCGTATAACGTCCGTCAAAAGGGCTGACGATCGACATTTCGAGACCCGCGAAGGAAGAGGCGAATCGTCGAAGATCTTCTTCTGCTTGAAGGGGCACAGGTCTGTTCTCGGAAAGAAGAACTGCAACCGCCGCGTTGGGAGACCCGACGACGTAGCTAGTCGGGTCAAATCTAATCGAGCGCCGTCTAGCAACCCTTCCGAAACTCACGAGCACAACCACAAATAAAAACAAAAACGAAAACAATTTCAGTCGATGACACGATTCGAAAAGAATCGGTCTTTGGCCCAGGATTCCGAGCCGTCTCACATACGTTGAAGTTGCAGCTTCCTCACTGAGGCGTGTGAAGTGCGCGACTTCACCAAATATCCCTTCACTGGAGTCTGGGGAACATTCAGAAGGTCCAGAGAGCACATATCAGCGCAGAGGCCGTCTTCAAGTGAACTGTAGCCGCTCGAACTGACGGCCAGCGGGTCCGTGGCAGTTTTCTTTCCCTCTGTCTCAAGGTCAGAAGTTGGAAGACAACGGACACTACGCCGAGACGGAGAAGAAACCGTCGATGACGACGGAGAGTCCGCGTAACTGAACAGTCCAACGAACACCATGAGCACGTTCAAGAAGAAAGTCTCCTTCCCCGTGATCGATATCGGCCTCACAGACACACACCAGGGAGCAATATTCACGTTTTCTGCACAAACACAGAAGTGGTCTGGAGACATTCGTGGACTATGTACATGACCACGGTGTTAACGCGAGGACCAGCTACTAGCGAATGATCCGGTCCTCAGCGCACGAGCCCAACGACGGGCGGACGAACAAACGAGCGAGCGAACGAGCGCGCGGACGCGTATACTTCAAGACACCACCAACCGAAGACCCAACTGTTTCAAGCGAAAAAGGAGATGATCAAGACGAAGAGAAGCTAAGAGTAGATAGGTAGCACGCCATCCCTGCACGTGTGTCCGCTTCCGCCCATTAAGTCGCTCGCTCGCCGGCTCGCCCGTTCCTGCGTTCGCTCGTTTCGTCGTTCGCCTGCCAGCGATCAAGCTTGCCTACTGAAGGTGGTTGGTACCTCAGCCGTCAGATGAACCAAAATGCGAAGGAAGAGAAGGAGATAGAGAGCCTAACAGCTCAGTCTGGGGTCCTCAGCTTTGACGTGGTGGGTCGGCGAACACTCGACCACATTGTCCTGACGTATTCTATTTCGCCAGCATGACCCTCCAGACTTTGCTCGGAGCTATCTGTCGCGTTCCGGAGCCCCGCCGAGAGTACCCCCTCTTAGTCCACTGGCTGATGAAAGATTCCTTGCAAATTTTTAATTTTGCCGCGATAATAATCAGCCGAAGCGCACAGAGAGCACAGTCCGATGCCGTGAACGGGGTTCCGTCCGAGGATTGATGAGGGCAGCAGACAAGCTTCGCCGATTCCGTTTGAAGTTTAAAAGAAAAGTCCCCAACGACAGGTGGCCTGCTCTGACGTGAGCGGACAGGAACAATCAGCGAACGACAAAAGAGCACTGAACGATTCCACGCGCCACATTACAAAGAGCAGATGGCGCACATATGTCAAGCCGAGCGGCGATGAAATTCATACGGTGGCGCGCTTTCCCTTGCGCCACATCAGAACCGAATCGGAAGTGTATGCAGGGCGCAGCAGCGAGCATGTCCCTCCACGATAAGACTTCGTTAAAATGGACGCGGATATGAGAGTCATTCAGCTCTCCGTCGACGTATCAATCAGCTTATCTATTTATCCATTAATCGATCATTCCTTCGATTTCTCGCTCAACGAGCATTGAGAGCGGAGCACCGATGGACGGGCGGACGGAGAAGGAGACGGACGGACGAATCGACAGGGCAGCAGGTCTACGACGATCGAAGGCGACATCGAAGAGACGCGAACAGAAGACCGCATCTGTTAAATACCTACGGGGGCCACAACGCGTGACGACGCCCGATTTCCAGGCCGTGCGTCGTCGCCGTTGCCTCCGCCGCCATCATCTACGTGGTCGTCATCATCTTCAGAAAAACAACCTGTGTGTGTGTGTGCGCTCCTTGACGAGACCCAAAAGCCGCGCTCAGAGCCAAACAATACGCGGTCATCGTCTGCATCACCTGCACCTGACCGAGGTGTTGAGAGTGGCGCGGCTTCGGTCGAGCGCAGATGACGCTTGACTCAAATTTCTATCTCGACGGCCTACTTTCGTTTTCTGCCCGAGAACTGCTTTCGGAATTTCTTCTGATAAGTCGGGCGAGGAGCGACAATTCCCATGCGGTTGGATGCTCTCCTCCGCAGGGAGGCAGACGGGCGGGCGGACCGGCCGGCAGGCGTCCGTCCGTCGTCGCAGTTCAGCGACAACACCACCGTTTGTCCCACGGCAGCACCGTTATTCCGTAGCGGGATCCGGTGCTTCTCCGCCAAGCCTCACTTGGAGAGAATACATTGAAGAGCGAGCGAGCCGAGCCCACGAGCAAGGAAACACAAACCGTCGCGTCGCAAATGAGTCCTCTACACGTTTTATTGTGAACGCTCTCACTCCTGATAATCGCCACTTTTCACGGCTCAAGATCCGGATCCATTAGAGGTTTTCGGAAAGGCTCACGCAGGTCGGTCATCTTCGATTAATGAATTATTCTCTCCAAAGCAGCGACGGCAGAAGGACCACGAGCCGTAACGCCGCAGCCATCGAAGCGCTAATCGAATAGCGGCAACAGAGTGCCGCTATTCGCCAGTCAATCAGACAGTAAGCCGCTCGCTCACGTTCAGATTCCCTCCGCAGCAGACCAAGTATGCTACAGGTACAAGGACGATATTCCTTCCTTCCTTCTGTCCTCATGAGAGCAAATTCACCGAAGAAGTTAGTCTCGGGGACAGACTGCGCTGGTACGTATTTCCTCCGCGCAACTCCGAGGGTAATTCTCAATCGGCTCGACGCTTTCGCATCGGATCTGGATTGAGCTCGACAAACTCCGACGACGTGATCTCTCCCGGTCGGGATCGTCCTCTACGGGATCGCTCCGCGCATCGGAATCAGACAACGCAATGAGACTTTTCCCCGGAACCTGTTCCGAGGTCCGCGTGGCATCGATTGCTGTACTCACATATTTGTGAAAACGAGTACCCCAGAAACAAGGAAGAACCCCCTTCGATATCGTAGTAGTTCTCGTCCTTTTTGTTCTCCTCGGCTTGCTGAGGATATTGACGCTGATAACGCGAGAAGTAGATCTCGTTGAGCTCATCGTTGAAGCTGTCCTGCTCGTCACGAGCTTGGGGCTGTGGGGTGACATTCTCGTACAGGTGGATGAGCGAGTCATTCGATGAAAACATAATCACAGCATGTCGAGTGCACTGAGGACTTTCAACACACACGAAAACGGTAACGAGCACAACAACAAACGACACAGTCAACACGACATCGACGGAAAGGTCCGCAGCACATCGAGTGCAATAACGAGCAACGAGTGCCGAAGAGGATGTAACAGTCCGATAGGACGGAATTACGCTGGACTGATCCGTCGCAAGCGCCTGCTTTCGATGGAAAAGCAGAATAGCAACAGGTAGGTGTGCTAGCTGCCAGCCATCGGGCAAGGTGGACTAACAAGTAGTTTTAGCAGCAGCAGCACTCAGTTGTATCGTTGTTGTTCCTCTCCTGCTTCGAATTCGACGAGCTTGGGTTGTGGGTTGGATGCTATAGCCGCCGACGCTGCCGCCGATACTTCTTGGGGCAACCAGGCGAGGAGGTTCCAACAACAAGAAGCCCAGCCACCAACCAAACCGATGAGAGAACGGGAGAGCGACGACTATGTACAGCTACCACCATCCAACCGCGCGCTCGTTCCCTCGCTCGGCGGTCCGTCTGTCTGTCTGTCCGTCGGTCCGTCGGTCGGTCAGAGCCAGCACCTGGGTCTCTTGATCCTCTCTTTCTCTCTATCGGTTCCTCCTGCTCCTGCCAGTCGCTCTTCGGCGTCTTCGTCGTCGACGACAACGACGACGACTGTTCTTCTGCTGGCTATACGCTGCCGCTTCTGTAGCTTCTACTACTTCTCTCTTCACAGATCGAGCAGCAACGAGTCGGAGCGAGCGAGCGAGCTGTCGGCGACGACTCGCGACCGACCAAACGTCAGCTACCCACAAAGCGTTCGAGCTCTTTCTACAGAAGAAACCGAAGTACGCTACGCACAGTTGGAACACATCGAGTAGCTGACGGGACAGCTCTTTGAGCGACCGAAAGACTAGTTGTGTGTACAAGTAGCAAGCACAGAATCGCCAACGCCTAACAGTTGAACTATCTATTGGACGGTGGAGCGAGCACCGGCGACAGCAGAGAGTCAGTACGGTAGTAGGATCTCAGAGACTGCAGTCCAGAAGGAAATCGCGCGGTCTCGGTGAGCAGTTCGGCTGGGCCCAAAGAAGGCTCAAGATGGGCAGAGCTTCACCTGAACAGAAAACGTGTGAACCCCACTCTCAGAGATCAGATGGGACATCGTTTC